TATAAAAACAAACACACACACACACACACACACACACACACACACACACACACACACACACATATAATTTCAAATACAACACAAAAACAGAAAAATGCACAAATACTATAGTAAAAATTGGTTCAACAGTGGACACAACAAATTGTGTACACACACAAGAGCTGATATAGATACACAGAGATACACATCTCCCTCTGGCTTTTTACTCTCTCCTTCTTGCAGTGCTATGTTTAGTTTTTCCTATCCTTCCTTTAGTGATAATGGTAACAAATGTGAGACTTTAGCATCATTGAATTCAAGGTTCAATGAATTGAAAGTGTGGCACTACAGCAAAGTAACTCGGCTAGTGAGGTTCAGGATGAAAGTCACCAGTGATCTTCTCCTGGCCTCAGACAATGGCCTTGTCTTTATACTCATCTGCAACATCTTAGTGCTGCATTTTACACCACTGATTACAACATTTTATTACAGTGAATGGAACTTGTCATTGGGATTAAACAAATCACAGTAAGCCAATTCAAATGGTAAATCTTCAATGTCAAGGAGTTCTAGCCTAGTCCAATTCCAGTAGATCCAATTCTCTTCACTTCATACATGCTTCTCTTAGGTAATATTATTATTTCAAACAGCCCATAACACATGGCACACTTTACCTGTCATGATTCTGTCCCGCCTGTTTCCGGTCTCATGCTTTTATTTTGTCAACTTCCTGTTATAGCCATATCAAACACTCATTGTTTACACCTGTTTTCACCCAGTTATAAGCAGCTTTCCCCCCACCGGAAAGCTGCCAGATTGTTCTAGGCTCCTGTTCAGAATTTCCAGTGTTATTCTTATTGCCTGTATTTCCTGTTCTGACCTCGGATTGCCTTTGACCACTGATTATTGCCTAACCAACTTGATTCTGATCATTTACTGTGCACCGACCATTGAACTCCCCTCTCTGACCTCTCTTTGGATTTCTTAGCTGTGTGGTATTATTGACTCGAGTGTGTTTTCTGGACTTTTGTATCGTGTACTATTTATTGTGCTCAGTAAAGAGAAGTTATCTGCTACATCTCGTCTGACATTATAATTGAGTTCACCACTGACATTGTTGGCAGCTTTACTTGCCAACCCTGACCTTTACATGTCTTTTTTTTTTTTTTTTGCTTCTTTCACATCACTAATGTTACATGGGCACCAAGTGTGACCAGCATAGATATGTTGTGGCATCATTACCTTTATATTGCATTTAATTATTCTAATTTTAGTCCAATATGCTGTTGTTAAAGGCTAGTTGTACAAAAATGTATTAGATTTTGGATTCTTTAAATATTTTTCATATACTGTGGCCCATTTCTTTCATATATAATTGAGGGGCTGGGTTTATCAAAATAGGTGCCAATCACAATTTGAGAGGTTCCAGCATATATTAATCCCTGCTGCCCAGTGTTTGTTGTTTTGTTTGTTGTTACTTGATGCTCTTCTTTTCTCTCTCCTCTATACACTCACCCCAAAGGTAGTCACATGGCAGCCCACCAAGAGCCTGGTTCTCTTTAGTTAAAGGGAGTTTTTGTTTTGTTTTTTAATGTACTGAATATATGAAAAATATAAAATGTTGGTTTATGTATTTAGAATTCCCCCTAAAATGGTTGCCTCCAGTCTAACTGAAGATTTTGCTACCAGAAGTTCATTTTTGCACTAAAATCATCAATGTACAGACAATCATTTAACTAAATTGATACTAATAAGACACCACCTGAAATGTGTCTCTTTTGTTTACATTTGTAAACTTATTTATAGACATTCATCTAGAATGGGCATCAAAGAAACTGCTATCAAGGCAAAGGTCCGGCTGTTTTCTGGAGAATGTGCACAATCCTGATGAAATGTAATTTCAGTGAATTCTGACATTTGTGACCTTCAATGGATTCCAGGTTTGTTCCACAAGCTCAAATTTTCATATAAGTTTTAGAATGTGGGCAAATGCAGGGTTCTATGGAAACCAACAGGTACGATGGCGTACAGTTATTAAAAAAGCACACAAACACATATCACAGCTGCTTTCTCTATAGCTTCCCTGAGATCTTGTAAGAGTCCTCAGAATAGTCAACAAAAGCAGGAGACTATAGCTAGTGGTGGACAGAAGCCTTTTGGGTTCACATTGTGGGCCTCGCACTGAAATGTCTGACAAAACACAATCCCACTTCTTTAACACCCTAAACAACTGATGAATACTTAATCACTTGGGTGTTGCCATGGGCCTTTCAGAGGCTAAACTCCCCTTGTGCACTTTTCAACGTCACATCCTACCACAGCAAATACTTATGCTTAACAAATAGGGTCTGAAAAGGGATGGCAAACAGAGAGGGGATAATTCAATTATCCTCCCTTTTTATTTGAAAAATCTAAAGATGGGTTTTGAAAAGGATTACTCTGTGTACAGGGCCTGTGTGCACCTTTTACAAACTAAACAACTTGAGGGGTTAAACCACATCTAAGAGCAGCTGAGGTAAAAAAAAAAAAAAAATCTAAGGAGGCAGTGATGGTGATATCTTTTGGACCTTAGATAAAAGATGAAGCTCTCCTTGTGGGAATTTGCTCACACCCTCTTTCCAGAGCTCTGAAACAATGACCTTACTCCTGTGCAGAGAGCTTCTGTACAAACCATATACAAGCAGTGGTCCCAAAGGACCTGTAGACATAAGTCATCTGTTATCTATGTTCTTACAATGGAATAAATCTTTACATAGTTTCAAAATGTGCATCTTGAAACTTGAAACTTCCTAATGGCATGCCATTAGGAAATCTAGCCCATGTTCATTCCTGGGCTGGGGTTGGGCAGTATTCATTTCTAGCACTGTGTGAAATCAGTGTAGGGTTGCTGTTTTGGAGAAGAAAAATGTCTTGTGCTTGAAATCTGTACAAATCTACAGCAGCAGACAGCTTTTATGGCAAAGCAACTTCACAGGATCCAGGATACAATCCCTTACTGTAAGGTGCTGGAAAAGCCATGCTCTCATTATATTTGTGGCCACTTTGGGGAATATGCCGCGTTTCTTCTGCCTCTTTTTGTCCTGGTCATCCTCGTCTCCTGTGCCTGATGATGCCAGGCTGGCTTCAAGGCCATCTCCTGCAATCAAAGACAAGAGAAGTCATGATATGAGAAAGATTTAATTTGGCCCTGTCGCCTTCATCGTCATCCACAAAGACATGCTGTGAAACTGAAGACAGAGGGAGATTGCATTCCTCTGTAGCATATCAGCACAAGATTCTCCCTCTCACCTCTGCTTGACTCCTCAGTCACTGGATAATGAAGATGAATTTGTCAAGTGGCAGCTCAATAAAACCGAGAGCTATTACTTCAATCTGAACTACATGTTTGACATGAGGTAATGACTGCAGAAGTTGTTTGCTTGACATAACATAATGAACATTCAAACTGTTGTGACTCACTGTTGTGTGCTCTTATTTATATGTGACCTCTGTTTGAAAGAGGACTAATGAAAGGGAGGGGAAACATACAAAAAAACAAGTTCTAAGCCCCATCATAAGCTAGATATTCATCTGGGGTACAGGAGCAGATTGAGAGGGCTGTGAGTGGGTGGGTCAGAAGAATGTGAAGCCATCACACTTGTGTACTCGTGTGTTCATTGTGTTCATTCTTCATCAACAAGGTCTGTGTCAGATTGTCTCTGGATCCTGTCACTGCTCCTTTTCCCTCTCTGCCATTAATTGTGCATCTGCTGAAATGTTTTACTTTTAACAGTGGTGGTTGTTTTTCTTGCCCCGAGGGCAGAGAAGCATTGAAAGCCTGCCTGAAGGGTACATGAATAATGCAGCTGACAGACTCCTCCCCCTGAGGTGGAACAGGAACCCTACTTTTCTCAAGATTTGCTTTAGTGTGTCTTTTTGTTTATAGAAATACATTGATGTGCCAATATGAGACATGTTAATGCATAAATATTTCAGTTAATGAATACTGACATTAAAATGGCTGGTTGTGTGGTGGGGAGTTCTAGGAGTTTTCACGGATGATGTCCAGCTCTGAGTCACTGAAACAGTACAGGGTTTATACTGCCTCTATCCTCTACTCAGTACTTTGTTTTGTCTTCTGCTTATCCCACAGTCTGTTGATAAAGTTACTTCTTTGCAAGCAAGGGTTCCCTTAGTGGTGATGAGGGTATTTTTTTTATGTTGTTTGAATCATCTTATTCCACAATGTCTGACATTATCATACTGTTTGTATTCTGTATCATCTTGTTCCAGCTCTTCAGTGGAATTTATATGACCCCTGAGTGATGTATTCAATTTAATTTCCATCATACAACTGGTATTATGCTACTTTATTAAGTTTTGATATTTTGTCAGGCAAGAAAGTAACCTTCTAGATTGGGACTACTGTAGGTAGTCAGTCTATCCAAGTAATACCAGTTTGGACTACCAATTTGGAAACATGCTTTAATGTTTCATAGAAGTGAGTACCCACTAGCGGACCAAGCTAGCTCTCTTAGCAGGCAGCTACATCTTGTTCAGAGCAGTCTGTGAGTAAGGATTATGAGTACTGTGTCCTCCCACCCCCAGGAATTTGAATTTAAATTCAATCTTGGAATGTAAATAATGTAACAGTGAATGGCTAGGACTATACAATTCCAGTAAATGATGTTTCTAACATGTCCTAAATTCATACAATAACTTAATCTAGTTCCAGACAATTAAATAGCAATTTATAATTATATAAAGAGGGGCCTCAACAATAAAGAAATTTTGAGTGGCACTAAGTTTGCTTCACCTTCATATCATAAAGCTATATGTGGCAACAAAAAGCATCTTTAAAGTTTGAGAGTGAAAGAGCAAGAAAGAAAAATGACAAAGAGCACTTGCTCAGCCTACTTATATCCAAGAAAGGCATGCTGTTCTCCCATCCTGGCCCACCTTGGGGCAGATCCTCTGCTACACTAATCGCTGCTGACTGTTCCCTGGCAACTCAACCAATCTAATGTCAGTGTGTGACAGTGCAGTCTCAAAGCAGCACACTCATGCAAATCTCTCAGGCCCCCCCTTCAGTCTCACCCTGTTTTCTCCACCCTGCTTGGATAGCTGACGGATGGGCATTGCTGCAAGGATGGCTGAGGTATTGCCCTGGAGCTAAGAAAAAACATACACACCCTGAGATATGAAGAGCAGTCTTCCTGTCTGTTCTACCCCCTTCTACTTCATTTGCTTCAATACACTGTCCAGCCTGTGTTGGTATGCATCTATAAGGACACAGGCTATTTATTTTCTCATTATAACAGCTATAATTACCATTTTTCTATTCTTTGCTTCTTCCAGAACATTCCAAAGCCACTGAAATATTTTTACTGCAGAAATATTACTTTGCAGCATTTGCTTAAAAAACCCATGACATGCTTTTTGTGTTTTCTGACTTATGTTACAATGATGAATTACAGTATCATCTTAAACATGACTGAAAGCTCAAAAAACAAGGTATACCTACATTGTTGTATTTCTATGCAGAGGCAGCTCAGTTTATACAAGTCTCTCCAACTCTCGATTATACAAGACTTGTTCTCCAATTATGTGTAAAGTCTTATGCAATAACTTATGGATTTCCTTGAATGGTCATATCCTGGCTATGCACGTTCATTTGAGCTTGCCTGCGGCTGGAAACCTACGATCAGCCAGCCAGTGAAACCCCCATGGCGGTGAATGATCAACTCATTAGCGCCGGATGCTCCTGGAGCATAGTACCTGTTTGTTTTAACTGCTTGAGGCCAGTGTGTGCTTCCCGCATGTGATGTGATGCGGGCTGGCGAGAGGATTCTAAAGATCCATGATGTTACAGTCGGAGCTACGCTACCTGTTGGAATTAATTTTACTACACTGGGACTGTATGTGGTAGGGGAAGATGCAGTGACCACCAGTTGGATTTACTGACCTTGGAGCTACTTGAAAGGGAGTGATGTTTCCACTAATTGGTGGGACTTAACAGTAAGTTTAAAAAACACATTACATGTCTGTTAATGCCTTGTTTCTGTAACGTTAGAGAGAATTGTTGTAAGACTTTGTTTAGAGTGTTACAAATGTCTTTTCATTGGTACATATACCATTGTTTACCTATCTATGGAGGAGAAATTCAAATGAATTAATGCCATTGATGTTCATTGTGCTGTTCACTTTCATATTTTGGCTTGAACATGTCAGGGAGGATTTGTAGTCACTGTCAAAAACATAGCTTATTTGTCAGTGATTTATGTTTCTGCGTTGCTCTGGCTTCTGACTGGCAACAGGAGTTGTGCGTGTTTAGGAACTATCAACTCATTTTCTGGATGCTCTCCTTGTGATATTGAGTTTTAACATTCTGAAATAATTACTATTTGGGGTTATGATGGGTGCAAAGCTAATCTAGAGGTACCCAAGATTAAACATTAATTGGCTAGAAATGAGCATGCCACGGGCTTTTTATGTTTGCTGATGAAAGAATTGAACTTTCATTTTCTGCAGAAGTTAGTACTATAATATCTAAAAGTAAACTGAGTCAGTGTCTTTTACTCAAATTCAAATGGTTTAATTGGCATGGCCATATTTAGATAAAGTATTTCTGCAAAGCTTAAAGCTTCGCCAAAGTATTGATAATTTTGTATGTATATGTAGTGCATGCCAGACTTTTCAGTCTCCATCATTATTGTTTATTCCTCCATTACTATAGTACCATTATTTTGTTTATTTATGAAATGCTCACTGATGTATTCATTATTAATTTTTTAAATTTGTCACCAAAAATCATTTTTCTTTCTTATACTGTAAATTCTTCATCTACATGTGGAGATAGCTGTGGGTGTACATCATCACTATTTTTATTAATAATAACAACAACAATAATAATAATATAGTGTATTACATTAGATGATTTGCAGCATGTATTCATGTGTTAAATTTAAGTAAACTGCTGTTATCTTAGTTAGTTCTTGCAAAAATCTCTATATTACCAAGTGAACCCTTAAAAGCCCTTCTGCTCTTAATAAGTATAAAATCTGCTGCTGCAATGAGATAATTTAAACTGTGTCTAATGGGCAGTATTGCCAACCACTTTTAGAAGGTTATAAAAAATTTATTTATTTTTTTAAATCATAGATTTGGTTTTGTTCGGCATAGTGTGAGGTTTTTATAATAAGGATAATCACCTTACTGGCCAAGTATGTTACACACACAAGGAATGGCAGCCATCTGAGGTGCCAACTCAACTGATGGCTCTAACTATCAGGGGCAATGGGGGGGTTCAGTGTCTTGCCCAAGGACACTTCGACATGTGGACTGCAGGCACCAAGATTCAAACCTTCAACCTTCCAGTTGGGAAACAGCTGCTCTACCCACCGCACTGTTGCCTCCCCCGTCATGGCTTTAGAAATTTTAGTGTAAAAAACAGTATATGTATATATCAGATATTCTTAATATTTGAACCTACAGTGTAGTGTATATACACTAAAATCCCCACAGACAAAAACCACGATATTAATGTTATCATATAAACCAGCCAATTTATATTTAAATGTATCAGCGTTGCATCCTGGGGTTTTATATACAGATTTTTGTAGGGTGTATGGTTTTGTGAATATATAAATATACTGTATGTTTTATTTTGTTTGTTACCTTTTATTCCACAGTCTCTTTTCTACCTAGCTCAGTGGCTGTTTTGCTGGGTGAAGCAGTTGATGGATGACATATCCATAAGACAAAGTGCAGAGTAGCTAGCAGAACTGATTTCCACATTCCTAGCTGCATCAGTGATGCAAAGCCAAGCTCTTTACATGCTAGCTGTCAGGTTTGCCCGGCTGCACCTGCCTCTCTCACCTCCCTCACTTTGTTTCTCTTTTTCAGCCCCTGATTACACCACCTGGCACACCTGCTCCACATCCCTTGATTGTCACCAGCTGCACTTTATTTGTTCTGCCCTTACTTATACCCTGCTCACCTATCATTCCCTTGCCAGTTCGTTCTACTTTTCTCAGGCCCTCACTGTTGCATTTGTGTTTTACCCTTCTCCTTTTTGTTGTTTTTATATATTTGGACTCCCTGCTGCTGCTCTCCTCCCATGCTGTTCTTCTTCCTCCATGAACTACTCCATCCACT